CCTGCTGAAGTTTCCTGGCACAGCCTTCCTACAGCCCTTGTCTTCTTGGACACAGAGAACAATTCATATAATCTCATCCTTGACCAGCTCAGAGATGTTAGAATTATGGAGCATTGACAGTCTAGTAAGAAACTCATTGCCTCACTACGCACCCTCCAGAGATCAAGCCTTTCTCCCCAAGGACTTTCCCCCACAAATTTACTTAGCATGGCTTTTACATTTCCTGCTTCCAGGTGTAGAATGAAAAAAGTTAAACTAATTAAAGCATACAGTAAATGTTATTCTCTTACATTTTCTATCTCACATTACCAGCCAGACACATGAAGCTGCCTTATCATGAATCAGACCCTTGGTCCATCAAGGTCAGTAACATCTACTCAGACTGGCAGTGCTTCTCCAGGGTCTCAGGTAGAAATTTTGCACCTCACCTACGACCTGGTCCTTTTAACTGAAGATGCTGGGAGATTGAATCCGGGACCTTCTACATGCAAAGCAGACGCTCTTCCACTGAGCCACAGACCCTCCCAACAAGCGAAACATTCTGTGCTGAAGAAGTGGCCCATTTTATGCTAAAGAAGCTTTGAGCACTACATGGGGGGGATCTTCTACAGTATTACAGAACTACTATTGCTTTGCTCAAACGAGGAATAAAAATTTAATCACTGGTGAGTGAAATGCAGTGCAGGTGTGTTATAAAAATCAAGTCACATCAATCTATTGAGCCAGTTAAAGTTTGATTCAAAACAATTTGGCAGCATCCCACTGCCATCTCATCTCTTAGCACTCACACAATCACCTGAAATCTCAGGGATACTGTGAAAAGACTGAGGTTGCTCCCGGCCTATGGTAAGCCTAGTGTCTGCACCCCTGTCATGTGCAGGTCAGGATTCAGTTTCAGGGTTCACTCACTGGGAAGAGTCAGTTTTCAGGCATATTCCCATTCATACCAAAGCTGAATCCTTCACAAAGTGGTAGGTAGATCAAATGTTTCCTGGCTGGGAATAAGCACATGAAGCCTTATCAAGAACTTTCCCAAGGTCACCATGCACCAGATGGAAATGTGAACACACCCGCACATAATGTCTTTCCAATCAAAATACATCCTCTCAATCTCATGTATTCAGAACTAACTGGGGCGGCAATCTACAAATCTCTTACTCCAGAGCATTCCCACTGGCTTCAACAGTCCCTCTTCATATTGCAAAAGTGATTAGCAAGAAGCAAACTTGCCAACTTAACCGCTGAGTCTACTGCAAATGAGAGTCCACATGACTCCAACTCAGCATTGGCCTGACCAAAGTGGATGTGAGCCAACCAATAGTATAAACAACAACAAAAAAATTGTGTTCCAGCTTAACTCATTCGAGTCCCCAACGGATACAGATTTTCACATGTTGCCATGAAAACAAGGCTTCAGACTTTGTGACTCAATAATAATTCAAGATAACAGAGGGACATTACTTGTTTGCAGTAAGACCTGGAATGTGGACTTCACTCAGCACCCAGTCACTGAGTTAAGCATTTTCTAAACAACCAACAATTTCCACTCTTCCTCACTTTTGACAGCTTGATGTGCAAAATGGTGGTCTGACCTGACAGCACCTGGAACACATTTTTTCCTTTCAAATGACAACAAAAGGCCATGAGGAAGCAGTCACAGGTGCGATCACAGACAGACTTCCAATACCAAAAAGTTTTAAAAGCTACGGGTGGACTATGCAGGCACTTGTATGTGTGTGTTCAGGGTGGGGTGTGTGTGTTTGTGTGTGTGTGAATGATGTTCTCCAACCCCCACAAACTATATGTTATTCACCAACTCTGGCAAGTAGCAAGATACCATGAAGTAAAGGAGGTTAAGGGCAGCAGAGCATTGTATGTGGGTAGGGGAACATCATCAAATAGCAAGATACCATGAAGAGAAGTAAAGGAGCTTAAGGGCAGCAGAACATTGTATGTGGGTAGGGGAACATCATCAGAACCTTCGAGGAACAGGATGAATCACACCAAATCCAGAAGAGTTGCCCCACCTCTCTTCCTGCTCATTTTGAAGCATGTGACTGGTTTAGTAGAACGAGGGTCAGATACAGTTATGAGAGACCTGAGTTCAAACCCCAGATTAACTAAAAGTTGCAAACCTTGTACATGCATAACTTGTTATAGAACCATGTGGGTAGCCATTTCGGTCAGAAGCAATAGAACAAAGTTTGATTCCAGTGGCACCTTTAAGACAAACAAAGCTTAAGTTGGGGTATAAACTTTCATGTGCATGCACACCTTCAGACATCTGAAGAATATGTGAAGAAACATGCATTCACACAAAAGCTTATACCGGGAATTAAACTTTGTTGGTCTTAAAGGTGCCACTGGAATCAAACTTTGTTCCGTTACAGAACCAATCACTCTTCTCTAGTAACTAGTGGTAGAACACATGCTTTGCTTGCAAAAACTCCTAGATACAATTCCCGGCAGCTCCAGCTAAAGGCTCTCAGGGCAGCAGGTGATGAAAAAGATCTGTCTGAAGCTCTGAAGAGCCACTAACAATTAGTGTAGCCAGTACTGAACTAGATGAACCAATCATCTGACAATACAAGGCAGCTTCATATGTTCACTCAGTTCAAGGCCTCAGCCTCTTATGTGAAGCATATTTCTCCAATATCTGCTGGGACTCTAGCAGGTTTTTCTGATTCCTTGACCTAGCGAGTATCATATTTCTATCCTTTAATTAAAGAAGACTCATTTGCTGCAATATTAAAACAATCATGAGGTATATAAGTATTTAGGTGACAATACACAGTATCATGAAACTGGCTCTGGGAGTCTAGTGGGGTTTAGATATCCATTTCTCAAGTAGCAGTGTCCCACACTTTTGAAATTCAGTGTAGTTTCAAAACTAGTTGGCAACATAGCAAGGCAGTCTGCTGTTCAAAGGGGTGGAGAAGTCAAAATTCCTATGGCAAACAATCAAGTCCTTGTGTACTCTTAAAGTAACTCTCTGGATGTTGGCTTTAGACCAGGGTTCTAAGCTGAGCATGCTTAAGTCCAGTGATTTTAATTGGCTTCAGTGCACTTAACTCCACACATAATTATGGTCCATGTGTTCATGTCACTGTCCTGACCTCAATGAGGACCTTATTTCCCTGCTGTAAGCAAGTAACATTATTTACATTGTAACACCCAAAAAGAAACAAACAGAACAAGCTAACAATTATACCTATCTTATATTTATGGACAAGTATGTACCTCAATCTAATTTACAGTTTCTGCATGAGAATCAAGCAAACAAACAAGGCAAAATTTTGCTACTTTCATGGTATTCTCCTTGCAGTAAAAAAGAGCAAGAGTCCAGTAGCACCTTAAAGACTAACAAAATTTGTGGGAGGGTATGAGCTTTCATGAGTCTGCTCACTTTTTGTTAGCAAATAGATGTTCAAGTTTGTGTTGCAACCAACTATAGGTCAAGAAACTCTTGCATAGGCTACTCTCAGACAAGGCAATGAAACATAAAATGCTGCTTATCTTCAAGCTGCATAAAATACAGACTTTACGCCTCTCCAGGAACCTGCCCGAGGCAGCTTACAAAACAACAATAATAAAAGCAAAATGTTAAAAGATCTAAATTAAAATCCAGCATTAAATTAGATTGTGAATATATTTCATGAAAACATCCATCTAGAAAGTTAAAAGATCTAAATTAAATTCCAGCATTAAATCTGATTGTGAATATATTTCATGAAAACATCCATCTAGAACAGATGACAGTATCTGCTGTATCCTTAACTGAGTAAAAGCTTTTCTTACAGGAAATCTGCAGAGATCGGAAAAGTAAGGTGCACATTATGACTGACTTTTACTCTCAAATACCACAGTGGCACTAGTGTAAAATTACCCTTCCTAATAATGCTTAGCATTTATATAGCACTTCCACATGTTTGAAGAACTTCTCATACATTATCTTGCTATTATCCTCAGATCAATCCTGTAATGCAGGCAAGTACTGTCCCCATATTGTGGGGCAAAGTGTGCTGGGGCTGAAAGAGTGGCCTATCTAAGGCGACCCAATTAGTCTGTGGCAGAAGTGACATTTGAGCTAGGGACCTCCCAGAGCACAACCTATTCTCTTCCCTGCTATGTGAAATAATCACATAGCCTAGGCTGAAATTTCTGTTTTGCTCTATCATTCCTAACCGCTTCAAAGTATTACTGGGGAAACCCATACCTATATAACTTTGTCAGCCCAAGTCTGAGCTAGTTCTCTAGTGCAGCCATCCGAGAACCTGTCTGGGGTCACAGCCAGAAGTGGCACAGGAGGTGGTAGGCTCTTGGATCTATATTGGCGCCACATGAATTCCACCAGCAGCAGCACTGGAGGAAGCAATGGGTGAACCGTGCTCAGGGCAACAAAATACACTGTGGAACCTGCCCTACCCAAGTCTGCTTAGTCACACCAAAGGGTAATGTTCTAAGAATCAGATCATGATTACCTACTAGATAATGAAGTATACCTCACTAATTGTAACTTCTGGTGCACTTTCATTTTTAACAGTTAACATGCACGTTTCCATCTGATGAAAGTGTTTCCTACCAGTTATTCTGGTATCCACCGTAGTGAGGGATTTTGAACATTATGCACCCATGTGATTTGTTGCTGGAGAATCTGGTCCTAAAATTTTATCTGGGCAGTACCATTTTTATAGCACCGATGGGGGGGAGCACTATGTTCCTCCACGCCCCCCAAAAATCATCCACAGAGCAAAACAAATGTCTAAGGGAAGACCCAGCCTTCTCCACAAAATGCTAATTATTTATGTGTTAGGTTTTTCTTTTTGTAAATAGGAACATTCAATCATGTGAGCCACACCTGCAGGATGAAGTGGTACAGCCCGGACAAAACTTTCCCACTTAAGTGCAGAGAACCCAAGAGACATGGGATTGCACACTAACAGGATTAATACAATTATACCCTCGCTTTCATTCCTCTGACTATGCTCTTCATTAGTGCTGGATTTGGATAAGAGAAAACCAGATTCAAATCTCTGCTCAGCTGTAATGCTCACTTGGTGGTCTTGGGCAACTGACTCTTAATCCTTTTCATAAGATCAAACCCCAGTCAAACACAAAGAGACTGCTTTTGTAAGGGTGCCATATATGGCAGCCATTTTATCCTACAATCTAAGTTAGAAGAACTGAGAAGTTCTCTCGGTATGTGAGATAAGCTGGATCAGTGATGAAAAATTATGCAAGAAGTCTCATATCACTCTATATTACTATTATCGTTGTCTATTATAGGTCACGGCTCCCCAAAGCCCTCGCTTGCCATTCTTATCCACAGGACTGTGAAACTGTCCTTACCCAGGTCATAGCCCTTTTCAGTCGTAGCCTCCTATGGAATGTGCCCCCCCCCCAGGAAAGTTGCAGAGGGTACCTTCTCCGATGGCCTTCAGAAGGCTCTGTAAGGCACTCTTATGCCACAAGGCCTTCTTCCTGGCCTTCTGAGTTATGGTACTGGATTAGTGTTTTCTTTCTGACCATTTTTGCCTGTAAAGCAAGTCTGACGTATAGATGGTTTTATACTCACCATTTTATATGCTTGGTGGAGGCAGGCAGGCTATAAGACTTTAAAATAAAATACTATTAATTATAGAGGGGGTTGCATGTTTTCAAATTGAGTAACACTGCCTTTAAGAATTCCCTTTTCCTCTAAGAGAAAATGAGATACAAACGTACCAAATGTACCAAATAAATAATACAAAACCCCCCACATATATAGAAAAAGTCCCTCCACCCAGGAAAATTCAGTCACTATTCTGACAGACCCGTCGGAAAGATAGGTGACAAATGTTGGCATAAACAAAACACCACTAGACCAAACAAGAGTAAGGACTTCCCCCCCATACTGCTGTTCTGTGCAGTATCGTTTCTTAAAAATGAGAAACTTCCTTCACATAAGTCCAACCTACAGCCTGGTCAAGGAATGTACTGTAATAAGTTGGTAGAACAGGCTGTACCACCTCAGACTGCAGGTTACCTCTCCTATCCGCAAATAGGAAATTAGCACAGCAGGGAACAAACTGGGCATTTCTCCCTCATGTGCTAGATCTCTACTTGCATGGAGTTTTTTTAAAGGAGGGAGCATTCAAAAACACTCGCATAGCCGCTATCACTTAGATTTCTTTACTCTGCTCTGGTAAAGATTTCTTTACTCTGATAAAGGCTGTGGTCACACGGGCAAGGTAATTCCGCTTTGTTCCCGCTTTAATTTAATTTAATCGGGAATATTTTTCTTCGGTTCGGCTGATTAGACGCAACCGGCCCCTCTCTTCCACCATTCGCTCGCCTGAAAATCCTTCCCCTCTCTCCGCCGCCTGTCCACTCGCCTGCCAGCACACCTGGGCAGCCCAGGAGACAGCTTGAGGACTCAGCGGCACTTCCTGAGTCTCTCCCAGCAGAGGAAAAGCCCTGCGAAGATCAATGGCCCCGAGATCCCAGCAGGGTCCACTCCACAGAAACCCTCCCCCCCCCCCCCGCCGCAGCCGCTGCCAAACAGAGCGCTCAAAACCGCTGCCGATGCCTGGTGCTCCCTGCGCCGCCTCCGCCTCCTCTTCTACCTTCCCTCCCTTCTGAAGCCTGCAGCAGCAGCCGCCACCATTGTCGCCCGGAGCACCTTGCAGAGGACTTTGCTCGTCCGCCCAGCCCATGCACCTGAATGTTTAAATGGTGAATTGCCCAGGCGCTCTGCAGAAGCCTGGGGGGGGGGGGGAATCTCATTGTGGGGAAATTGTGGCGGCGGCGGGGGGGGGGGAATCTCATTGTGGGGAAAAACAGTCAGACGGCCCTAATCTCAACCATTGTGATAGATGGCTGTCCAGATAGGCAAAATCGCGTGTTCAAAGCGCAAGTACAAGAAAAACACTTGATTTTCCAAGGGGCAGGAAAAACCGCGAACATTGCGTGAGTGAACCGGCTTCGCCACGGAAGGTGGATCTAGTCAGCAAATTTAAATGTGGGAGGGAACAGCAGTGAAACCCAATCAAACAGACTGTGTGACCGCACCCAAAGATTTCTTTACTCTGCTCACTTTACTCTGCTCTGGTTAGACCTCACCTAGAGTATTGTGTTCAGTTTGGGGTGCCACAATTTAAGAAGGATATAGACAAGCTGGAACGTGTCCAGAGGAGGGCAACGAAGATGGTGAGGGGTCTGGAGACCAAGTCCTATGAGGAAAGGTTGAAGGAGCTGGGTATGTTTAGCCTGGAGAGGAGACGACTGAGAGGTGATATGATAACCATCTTCAAGTACTTGAAGGGCTACCATCTAGAGGACGGTGTGGAGTTGTTTTCTATTGCCCCAGAAGGTCGAACCAGAACCAACGGGTTGAAATTAAATCAGAAGAGTTTTGGGCTAAACATTAGGAAGAACGTCCTGACAATTAGGGCAGTTCCTCAGTGGAACAGGCTTCCTTGGGAAGTGGTGGGCTCTCCTTCTTTGGAGGTTTTCAAACAGAGGCTAGATGGCCATCTGACAGCAATGCAGATTCTGTGAACTTAGGCAGATCAGAAGAGGGAGGGCAGGAAAGGTTGCCTCAGTGCTTAGTTCTTGTGGCCCTTTCTTACACGCCCAGGGAAATGCTGATTGCCACTTTGGAGTCAGGAAGCAATCCTGGAGGGTTTTTTTTTAAACATCTTCTGGGCATAGAACAGTGGTCACTACAGGTGTAGAGGGGGAGGCATTTGTGAATTTCCTGCCTTGTGCAGGGGGTTGGACTAGATGACCCTGGAGGTCCCTTCCAACTCTATGATTCTATGATTCCACCACTTCATTCTCCTTCAGACCAGGCCACTGACTGCCCAGAAGCCAATTACTTGATATGGGTAAATGAGATCTTAATACACCTTGGTTATATGTGGCTCTCAAGAACTGAAGGCATGACATGAGAGGATTCTCTCCCCACTCTTCATAACAAGCATCAGGTAGAGAGTCACAATTTCAGTTTCTTAACATGAAGACAAAATGTATGTAGCTAGAAAATGAATATACACAATGAAACATGCCAGGCCAAGCTGGGACAGACATGTGAACAAAACTACAGTATTGTATTTTCAGCAACCAATACCAAATAAAAGACCCAGATAATTATAATTACATCCCGCACTACATATTCCTCCTGAGGGCTGAAGTCCTTAAGAACCAACTGGATCCCCCCCTCTTTTAAAATAAGGTGAGCCTATCTGTATATGGCACGTGCGTTGAATACATCAAGGCCAGGACAGGTAATTCAGTAGAATCAGTTTATTTTGTTTGTTCTGGCAAAGGAGGGGAAAACACTACCTCTGATTGCAGTCAGGGCTCTTATTGACTGCTAACTTCCCGCAGCCTTAGCAGTGACACCCGTCAAACAGCTCACAGTACTGACATGAAGGAAGAAATCTGCCTCCATACCATAATCAGGCTCTGGCTGGACAGTCTTGATTCTCAGATACTCCCGGAAAAGAGTGACCGATGGGTCTTCCTTGGGGTCCTTCTCCCCCAGCTTTTTAGAGTCTTTCTCTGGCAGCATGCTGGCCTTCTGATTTGAGGTATTTGAGTCCTGTGTATAATGAGGAAAAGACAGAGAGGGAATGAGAAGTAGGGGTGAAAAACCTCTGTTCCTCCTACAATGTTTAGAGTGGAATGGGTTGCTACAGGTAGTAACATGTATGAGCCACCTTGAATTCCTGCTTTTTTTCTGTGCCTTCTCTCACTTCACAGAGGCCAAAGCAACAGGAGGAAATTACCATCTGTTTCTAAGTGGCGCAAACAATTGATCTGGAATGTCAAACCTACCCTGGAAAGGCTTCGCTCCAAAATCATAACCGTTCAAAAGACATCCCTCCACAGCATTCACTACAAAGGTAAATTCAGCCACTGAAGGGAAATTACAATGTTCAAAAGAGTCTTTGATCAGGTCATTCTTTCCATTCTGTAGCACCTTATATTATAACGGTCACAAGCATTCCATAGCTTCCACAGCTGCTATACCTGGGTAGGATTTCTGGTACAGAGCTAAATCAAGATGGGTGGCCGTGTTAGTCTGTCTGTAGCAATAGAAAAGAACAAGAGTCCAGTAGCACCTTAAAGACTAACAAAATTGGTGGCAGGATATGAGCTTTTGTGAGTCACTGCTCACTTCTTCAGCTACAGAACTATAAGGCTAGGCTTGAAGGCAACTTGTACTTTAGAAACATGAAACTGATGTTCACTCGAAACTCCATGGAGACCTTCAAATAGCTGCTAGGCAAAAGGCAGATGACCTTAGGGGGGGGGAGCTTGGGAAACTGACTTTCCAAGCTAGTTTTCCTGACATAGGTACTATGCCTTTAACAGCCACATTCTGGGTACATTGAGCCTTGTTTTACAGTGGTGGAGAATGCTGCACCTGTTGAATTTCTGCACACTGGGTGGCTGTAAAAAGCACAGACATTCATGCCGGCCACATGACCACGGAAATGTCTTCAGACAGCGCTGGCTCTTCGGCTTTGAAACGAAGATGAGCACCGCAACCCTAGAGTTGGACTCGACTGGCTTTCAAGCAAGGGAAAAAGCAGGTTGCTTACCAGTAACTGGTGATCTTCGAGTGGTCATCTGTGCATTCACACCCATGGGATCTAGTGCGCACGCGCTGGATCGATCGGTGCTGTAGCAAGCTCTTTTAACGGATTTTCGCGCCCAGTCCCTCGGGCATGCGCAGGAACCTCACCGCACATGCCCAGAGGGGTGGGCGCGGACATCCCGCCAGTTCCTACAAACCACCACAAATCAACCCCTAATAAAAATGTAGACGCTGATAGCAGTGGGGAAGGAGGGCGGGTGGTGTGAATGCACAGATGACCACTCCAAGATCACCAGTGACTGGTAAGCAACCTGCTTATCTTCGACGTGGTCTCTGTACTTCACACCCACAGGAGATTAGCGAGCAGTAGCCTACCTGGAGGAGGGTGCTGGCAGGTCTTTTACTGTGTAGCCAAAGACAGAATGTGACGTCCCATGTTGGTATTGGTGT